TTAACATAATCATAATATAAATCTTATCTTAATATAGTACTAATCATAATCGAGTCTAATATAATATAAATCATATCATAGCTTATCTTAATCTTAATATAGTACTAATCATCATCGTTTTCTAATACTAATTATAATAATAATCCTAATACTAATACTAATGCTAATTCTGGTCCTAATATGCTAAGGCTAATTCTAATTCTAATATGCCAATGTTAATCTTAATATTAATGCTAATTATAATATGCTAATGTAATGTTAACGCTAATACTAATGCGAATGCTAATCATAATATAATCATAGTCCAAATACTAATTATAATACTAATGGTAATGTTAATGGTAATACTAATGTTAATGATAAATGCTGGTGTTAGTGTTAATGCTGACGCGAATATTAATACTAATATGCTAATGCTTATGTTAATACTAATACGCTAATGCTAATGTTAATACTAAGTTAATGTAAATCCTAATGTATTAATGATAGTCTTAATCCTAACATGCTAGTGCTAATTCTTATCCAAAGTCTAATAATTATAATCCTAATCTTAATTATAATGCTACTGTTAATTCTATTCTGAAACTTAATTATAATCCTAATACCAGTACTAATCAGATTCTAATCCTAATCTTATACCTAATACTAATACTAATGTTAAGCACCTTCTGAAAATTGAGAGTAACCTGCAAATATTTATATTAATAAGTTACATTGGAAGTATTTATACTTATTTTTTTATGCATAAAAAAGTCAATAATAAGTTATTAAGAAAACACTTTGAATTTAATATTCTTAAACTACAATTAAATAAATCCTCTAATACATAACATATGAATTAAAATAAAAATAAATCTTAACAAACCGTGCATATATTTATAAACTTTATTTCCATTATTTAACAAAGTAATGTATGTGAAAATCGATTTTCCTGCTATTAACAATGTTTACATTTGAACTGTTATTAAAATATATATAATATAAAAAGAGGGTTTATGTCGCGTCCTCTATGAATGATATGTGGAAGTATGGTAGATGTTTATGTCATACCCTCCAAATTGCTTACTTGAAGTTCAATTGATGATGTGCATTCTTCAATTGATTAGTTGATCTTTTAATTTTGATATATGTTTAACTTATTTTCTATTTAACATTTGCACACTCGTATAAACATTACTACATATATTTTAAATGCCATTTATTTTAGTTATGTTCATTTATGGGAAACATATCAATTTATAATGAAAGAAAGTTGGCCGTATCGATATATAATGATTAATAATAAGGATTAAAAAAACTTCTAATATTTTACTAATTTTCTTTTTGTGGTGATTAAAATAAATATAAACATTACCATTTTAATGTAAATAAAGTACTCTTGTGCATATTTTGAATTTAAAGAGATTAAGAATTTCAAAGGAGTATGATTAAAAAACTCTATTTATATTTTACAAAAAATATATTTTATTGTGATTAAAATAAATATAAATATTACCATAATAATGTAAACAAAATACTATTGTACTTACAAAAATAATTGTATAATAGCAAAAATATTGAAACACACAAATTAGTATTTTTTTAATGCCTATATAATAGCAAAAACTCAAATTATTAACAAAAATTAAAAAAAGGGCAATATGAAATCGAATAAACATGGAAAAATATAGAAATACATTTGTAGACACAACTGATTTGTTTCACTGTAAATTTAAAATGACAGATTACAGTAGAGTATATTGTATACAATCACAACTTATAAAATATACTCCATCGTAATTATTAGAAAATCTTACTATGCGATCTCTGGATTAAAAACATAGTCAACACGACATGTTGCGCATTCTTCGTTTGATTAATTCTCTACTCAATATTGCTTCTAACAACCCTTTACACAGTTAGTCGTTTAAATCTTTGTGATTCATCGGTTCATAATCCAATCGAGTTTAATCGATCATGTTAAACAATCAATCAATGATAGTTCTTCACCAACGGGGAGAATTTCCTCGTTAAATGTCATCGTATAGATCTGCAATGCAATTTTTTTTAGTCAATATTGAAAAGCAACTACAATCAAACAGTAAAAAATGTAATGGTTTAACGTTAAAATAAAAGATATATTACATTATAAATGTATAATGGAAGAACAACAACATGATAAAATATCAACAATTGTCAAAATAAATAATGAAATAAACAAAACTAAGTCTATACAATAACTGATTTTTGATTATTAACAAAAAAAAAAAAAACAGAATTAAAAAAGAGACAAACGATGATCAATACAAAGGAAAAGCGAACGAACTTGCGAACAATATAATGTTATGATGTGAGGAACTGAATGAGAAAAAAATGGCGTATTT